ATAACCGGACCCCCCCCCCCCCCCCGCCAAAAAAAAATAAAGAATTGTATTTAAAATGGGTAAATTATGGCATACAAATTATATCTCAAAAAATCTCTTTAAAAATAATAAATGTGTTTGGTTCTTATGACAGGTGCTCAGGATTCTGAGATCCAAAGGACTATGATTTGAAGCCAATCTGGATAGAAAAGTCCATGAGTCTTCATCTCCAAAATAACCAATAAAAGGGCTCTTTATTGTAGCTCAAATGATAATGTACTAGCTAACCAAAGCATCACTTGACCAAATCAGAATACTAACACATAGTTAAATTTTTAATTTTTTGTTAAAAATATGAAATATATATTATTTTCTAAAAAGATACTATGGCATAGCCCTTTTGAATGCAGTTTTCTTTAAAAGGTTAAGTTCTAGAACTAGTCCTTGAACACCATTAAGAATACTGCCAGATGTGAGGCAGATGCTGTGTTGTAAGTGGACTTTCTAACAAAGGATGTGACTATATTTAAATGGTTTTAGTATACTTTCCAAACTAAGAAAAACTGGATTGGAGATATGACAGTTGTCTTTTAAAAAGATTTTGGACTGAACATTGGGGACTGATGCCTGTAATCTTAGCTACTCAGGAGACTGAGGATCGCGGCTCAAAGCCAGCCTGGGCAGGAAAGTCAACAAGACAAGGGGCACTGTGGCTCACATGGTAGAGAGCTCACCTTGAGCTTAAGAGCTCAGGGACAGTGCCCAGGTTCAGAGTTCAAGCCCCATAATGGGGAAGGGGGGGAGATTTTGAAAATAAAATGTAGTCAAAGCAGATGATCAATATCTACTGTGAAAATTTTAAGAGAGAAAAAAATTACAGTGTTACCTATATAATATCATATAATATAATATACTACCAATCTGTCTACTCACATTACATTTTTCTCATCTTGGGAAAATGTACACTAGTTCACATATTAAAATGTAAATACATAAATAATGAAATCCAAATGAATACCTTCTATAAAATGTTCAAGACACTACATTAGTCATTTCATGTATATTTTAAGTAACTCAGAAATCATATTTATTATATCTTCAATTGTTCTTTAACAAAAAGCAGTTTTATGCAATCCAATTTGTCCAACCTTTCTTTGATTTGTTCTGTTTCTGGATCTCTATTAAGAGAATTTCGGCCTGTACCAAGGAGCCCTAGAGTTTCTCCTATTCCTTCCTGTAATGTTTTCAGGGCGTCTGCTTTGACTTCAAGGTTTGATCTATTTGAAGTTGATTATTGTCAGGGTAATATATAAGGATCTAAGCTTTAGTTTTCTACAGGTGTTTAACCAATTTTGCCAGAACCATTTACTGAAGAGGCTGTCTTTCTTCCGTTGTATTATTTTTAGCTCCCTTGTTAAACATCAGGTGGCTATAGGTCTGTGGGTTCATTTCTGGGTCTTCAGGTCTGTTCTTGTGCTAGTACCAAGCTGTTTTCATTACTGTGGCTTTGAAGAGTTTGAAATTTGGTAATGATATTCCTCCAGCATTGTTCTTTCTGCTAAGGATTGTTTTTGCTATTTTGGGGTCTTTTATTGTTCCATCTGAATCTTTGGATTGCTTCTTCTATTTCATTGCTTATTCTATTTCATTGAAGAATGAGGCTGGGATATTGATAAGTATCACATTGAATTTGTAGATAGCCTTTGGCAATATTGCCATTTTCATCATGTTAATCCTAATCCAGGAGCATGGGAGATTTCCATATTTAAAAGATACTTAGAACTCAAAAACTTAACTCCCCCAACAACAAATCCTCAAAGAAACAATCATCCAATTAATAAGTGGGATAAAGACTTAAAGAGAGACTTCTCTCAAGAGGAAACAAGAATGGCCAATAGACACATGAAGACATGCTCAACCTCTCTGACCATAAAAGAAATGCAAATCAAAACAACATTGAGATTCTACCTTACCCCAGTTAGAATGGCTATAATCAAGAAATCTAATAACATATGCTGGAGGGGATGTGGCCAAAAGGGAACCATACTATACTGTTGGTGGGAGTGTAAACTTGTTCAACCACTTTGGAAAGCAGTATGGAGGGTCCTAAAAAGACTACACATAGAGCTCCCCCCTATGACCCAGCAATCTCACTTTGGGGCATTTACCCAAACAATCACAAACAACTATCTTTATCGCAGCATTATTTACCATAATGGATATGAATATGGAACCAACCCAGATGTCCCTCAGTAGATGAAGGGATCAAGAAAATGTGGCATACACACACACACACACACACACACACACACACACACACACAACACGCACACGCGCGCGCGCACACACACACACAGAGGAATTCTGTGCCTCCATCAGAAAGAATGACACAGCCCCATTTGTTAGGAAATGGAAAGACTTGGGAAAAATTATACTAAGTGAAGTAAGCTAGGCCCAAAGAAACATAGGTCCCATGGTTTCCTTTATTTGCAATAACTAGTACATATGTAGGATAATCTTACCAGACAAGTAGAAAAGGTCAAAAGCTATGTACATATGACCCTATAAGATGATGTTAAGCGAAATGAACCCCAAAATAGGGACACAAGAGGTTTTTTTCTTTGTTGCTGTTGTTTTTAAAGTACTTATAATGTACTATGTGATTTCTTTTGTTTCTTTCATATGTTCTTCCCCCCATGGTATAACCCCTGTTTTCACTGTATTTGATTCCCACACCCTGCATCTTGAATATACATTTTTCTAATGTGGGGAGGGGAAGGGAAATAACACGATGCTGAAATAAGGATACAGGGTTGAACCATTGTAACAATGAGATGTACAAGACACTGTTGAAAACGAACTTTACAACTTGGGGGGGGCAGTTGGGGAGGTGAGGAGAGAAGGGATGATAAGGGAAAAACAAAGGAGGGGATAACAATGCTCAATAGGAAATATACTCACTACTCATGTAACTGTAACCCCTCTGTACAGAATCTTTAATATATATATATATATATATATATATATATATATATATACATATGGCTTATCAAGTGGTATTGATAATATAAAATCCTAAATGATAGCATTAGGAGAAAAATTTTCCTTACAGCTCCAGAATCCTTTGCACCTCAGTGGTTCTAAAATTGCCTTAGGACATGCAGGCTACTAGCTGTTATAGTCAGTCCATCTGCTCACCAACCTGTCTGCCCTGCATAGTCCCAATTTCAAGATAATGAAAAAGAAAGATGTTGTTGTGAAGTTTATCACTTTCATCATCATTTTAGCTGTATAAGAACTGTCTTCATAATAGAATCCTTGAACATGCTAATGATTCACCCCATTCTCACCACTGACAAGTGGCATATGTACGTAATACAGGTATGTGTCAATTTTTTGGATTTGACCTTTCAAAGTAAAGAACTGAATGGTGATATTTCCAGTTTCTTTTATGTTTAAGTTCGATATCTGAGGAAAAAAACACTTTTTGCTGAGAAAAGTAGTTAAAGATTAAATGTTAAGCATAAGCTATGATTTAGGTTCTTAATAAAATTACATTTCACAGAGCTGCCTGAGGGAGTCTTCTCTAGTTCTAAATCTTCAAATGTTTTTTCCTCAAAACACCAAAGTCCAGGAGATTTATCCAAGTTCAATATAATTTCCTGCTAGCAAATTTTCAAGTGATATTAATTCTTCAGCCCAAAAATTCCCTCAAGGTCATGGTTAATCTTCTGTACAATGGCATTAGTTCCTTTTATTCTCTTATATCCAATGTACCTTCTCCAAGCATAGAATAATTGAACCAATAATATCCTCTGTATACACTACAAAATTGGTAGTGATACCATTACTATTAGAACTGGCAGCACTTGCCATGCCAGGGAGGTGTGTAGTCCAGCAAGCAGCAGTGACAACAGGAACACCACAGCTTACATGATGCATGTCATAGAGATATGTAGGACAGGTTCTCCAATAGAGAATTGGGTTTTATGATTTTAGTACTTGTTCCATAGTGTGTTCTCTCTACCAATGATTTCTAATGTCAGCCCTCTTTATTTACTCCATTATTTATTTCTCAAGCTTATCAAGATAGCCATAAATAACACAAAATCATGTTATTTTAGGAAAACATGCAAATAGAGGTCATATTAAGCAAGATAAGACAAGCTCAAAAATCAAAATACTATTCACTTATATGTATCAATTAGATCTAAAAGACATGCATAGAGAGACAGATAACTGCCTAAATGCATGCATGTCTTTTAGCTGTATAAATATATATGTATACATGTATATATCATTACTTATATGGGTAAATATAGAACATAAATCAAGCTAAGAGACTGCTTAAGGGGAGAGGTAAGGATGGAAAACTAAAGAGCAAGAACCTGTTAACATATTAAAAATACAGATGAGGGAAATGGGATATAGATATCTGTCTCTATAGATATAGATAGATATAGGGGAATGGGAGGAAAGAGAGACTGTGGGTGGTGGGAACTTGTGCAAGGCAAGGTTAACACTGTTGGAAAGATTATTTATACTTATGGAAACAAAATAAATAAACCTGTTGGAGGTACTATTTTGGGGGAGGGAGTCACACAGGGAGTGTGACAGAGGGTTGAAATTGATGGAAATACAGTATAAACATGGTTGCATGACCCCTATAACTAATATGAGCCAAAATAAAAAAAATAGCTTTATTTGCTCTATCGTTTCTCAAGCTTATCTACCTGCAGAAACTTATTTTATTGTGGTTCATTATCTATGTACATTAAAATATAACTAATGGCCTACAGACACAGCAATAAGATTGAAAGCAGAAAAACAGTATTCTAGGTTCCAAGAAAAAAAAAAAAGGCTACTTAGAGCTACCGTACGTTTTGCACAAAGACAGTAAGATACTAGGTGTAAAATGAGAAATGAGGATACATAGTTAATCCTTTTCTGAAATCACCTCCAAGGCATAAAGAAAAAAGGGACCAATTAATTATTAAAAAACTGACATCCAGCATACTTACACTGCCCATTCAAGTTTCTCATTCTTGATTGAATTGTACAGAGCCTGTAGAAAGAAAATAAGAATGAGTTATTCTTTTCATTCTATTCCATATGTTAAATTCACTAAACAAAGCCAAAAGGCTTGAGTAAGCCCATAAGCAACTCCCCCACTCTTCAGAGTCTGGTTATCTGCACAAGCAGGACTAAAGCCCCTTGTCAGGCTGGCACCATGCTTCTGGGTAGGTAAATGAGTACAAGTGAGGAGACCTACACGAGCAGATATCTGGACAGAGTAAAATCTGTATGTTACGTTTCATCACAGGATAATTAGGATAGGATTAAAATTAGACTGGAAAATACTTCTCATTCAAAAAAGTCACAGTTTGATTAATTTGGAACCGGTCGTTCTGATAACTCCCTCACTAATGGAAAAAATACAACTGAATGGCAACTGAATGAGTACGTTACATGGAAAGAAGACTGAAATTAGATACAGAAAAGCATTTTAGATAGTTTTAGAGTTCCTAAAGCAATGACTTTGGTAGTTTTCATTACTCCAATATCATAATTCTGTTTAAGTGAGTGTTACATTGGGATGTGTGGGTGGGTGTGGTCAAGGAGATAGAGCCTTGATAACAGTGACAGTCCTGTCACAAAAGACCAGCTTCCCCAATTCTCTCCATTTCAGGATTGTACATAAGGTCTTCTCAATCAACTTTCTCCACTATAACTACTACAAAGGAAAATGCTTTAACTTTTGAATAAAATAAAAAAATGAAAAAAGTATTCTATTCTGTAAATCCACAATAGAAAATTACATTATGCAAAGAATAACTATCATACTATATGATGATGTTTAAACAGTTTCCTCAGTGGAGCACTTGGACTTTGTAGAGGCTGAAGGCATAGGATCTCCTAGCAGATTTGTAGACATTGCACAGGATGGCTGAAATAGTCAATTTAGCCACTGAATAACTATGGCATAAATACAACCAAGGACACATTTTATCCACATGGGACATGGAAAAGTACTTGTCCGCAAACAATGAGAACAAAGAATGAAAACAAAGGTTAAACTGAGGTATAAAGATTATACTATAAATCGGATATTCTTTTGAAGAACCCACCTACAATACAGGCAACATCTTAGGAAGCAGATCAGTTATCCAAGAGCAGTGGGTCTCAGAAAACTAACACTGGACTGAGAAACTACAACTGAAAAGAGACAGATCGGGTTTTTTGTTTTGTTTTGGGTAATCCTTTCAGGCTAATAGTGTTAGCCAGAGTAATTCACAATGTGGCAAAAATTCTTAAAATGGGGTTTATAAAGGTAGTCTGGAAATATCTAAGCATCTAATTTTAATACATTCAGTTCTGCCCTACAATTCTTTTCTAAATTGTTTTGTCCTTGAGAATTTTTTATTAAAGAGAAATGGAGTTTTTAGTATATATTTAGTATATTTAATATATTTAGTATATATTTATTATAAATAGTCTGTACCGTGGGGTTACAATTACACAAGTAAGGTAATGAGTATAAGAAATGGAGTTTTGAACTATAACTACTTGCTATTTAGTCAGCCAGATATCTTACAAAGGCCTATTGATAATATATCTTGTCTAATTCAATAGACTTCCTTGTTACATTGCAGGTTAAGTTCTTCTCTTGTATATATAATGTAAAATAGGTATCTTAGGTAGCATGCCAAAACTAAAGGCTTATTCTTTTTAATCATCAGATTACAAATTTCGCTGATTCTGTGTAGCACTTTATGATAACTCATTATTTCCTGAAACAGAAGATGCTCTGTGAATTTGTCTAGCACTTACATGTCCTCATCCTGGCTACATATCCTTTCAACTAATTAGTCCAGGTAAGAACTAGCTACATTGGATTCCTTTTTATCTCCTCCTCAATGGGCATCATTTTCTTTTTTGGTCAGCCTAGAAACCATGGTCTATGTATCACACGTTGTTTCACTCCAACCAGTCTTGTCAGAATGGGATGAGCTCACTAATTCAAAAATATGAAGTCTGCAGTATTACAAATTCAAAACTTTTAAGTATCAACACAATGCCCCAAGCAGAAAATTCCACAATAAAACTTTACTTCAAGCTGGTTGTAGTGACACACACCCCAAATCCAGCATTTGGAAAACTGAAGCACTTAGTATGGGAGAGCAGCTGGAGCTGGTCAGTTCAAACCCAGCCTTAACTACATGGCAAGACCTGTGCCAAAAACCTGACAATCAAAATTAAAAACCAAAAGCCTTTCTTCCATGCATTTGCCTTCTGGCTGTATGAATAGAATGTGTAGTTGAAAAAAATAAAGTCCCATTCTCAAAGTAAGCTAATATGAACAAGAAAAATTCTCTAAATCTGAGAGACATTAAAATCTCAAACACTCCTGGCCTCAAACAATTTAGATGAGGGCTTCTCAATCTGAACCTTTAGCTTCTTTGTTCTGTTATCTTTCTTCCAACCCTGATAAAAGAATCTATAAAATTTTTGATCAAGCTTACTCTGACTTCCCAAACTAATATCCCATTTATGATTAAGACTTCTTTTACTTTCATTCAAATATCAAATTCATAAGCTCTTAAATAATTTAAGAATAGGACCTAATACTTTACGCAACCAAATCAGAAAAAAAGAAAGTATGAATGGAGCTGCCTTCAGGGATGCAGGAATTTAGCCTCCCCCTCCTATTTCTTGCTTCCACTCCAAACATTTCCAAGTTTTGTTCCTCTACATCACAACTAACTGCCCACTATAAGCAATAGCTATTCATACTCATGTCTTATGTCTCTAAAAAGAGAGAAAACACACTGTTCTTTCCAACATGAAAAGACCTACATAGAAATTCTCATTGAAGTTTAAATCATCTATTGGCCACTGGACTAGTCCAAGTGCCAGATAAGAGGTACTACGACTAGGTCTCTGAAGTCAAGGGTGCTGGTTGTGTTTGTCAGTGAGGTGTAGCAGTAAACTAATCACAACCATCTTGGAATTCATAACATTCCCAATGTGTAGAGAGTCATTTAGCTACTAGAAAAGGTTAAGCGATAGCACACATAAGATCGCTGGATATTGACCGCCCCCTAATTTGAGCGTTCATAATTTCATGAGTCTCCTTAATCTCGGGCCATCTTTTCAAAGTGTGTAGGCACAGATCCCTCTTCACTTCTACTTCCTAATGATAATGGTAGAAAAACAATGGGATTTCAAAACTGAGAGGGAACAAAGCTTGCTTTCCATAACTAAGAAACAGGAAGCCCAATGTCAATTAACATCTCTTAAACTCTTAGAGATATTTTCCCACAAACTGACTAAGGAATAAACATTGTTTATGTGTTTATTTACATGTTTCTCTAGGAATCAATCTCAGAGCCTTTTCTTCCACTGAGTTACAGCATCTCCAGCCCTTTCTCTTCATGTTAACTATCAACTAACTCCATTCTTTCCTCGGAAGATGAAACTTTGCAGTGTTGTATATGCCTGGATAAGAGAAGGTAAGAAGGCTATGCTTCTCCGAGAGTTCATTCAAATAATGCCAGTCACCTCAAGATTCTTAAATGATGTTCCTAGGACACCGGCTTGAGATATTGAGGACAATGGGAATGCTCAAAGTTCTACATTCTCAGTCCACTTAGGGGCAAAGAAATTGCCTGTGTGAGTAGAAGTGTAGGATGTGGCCAGAAAATGGTCGTCGTGTTGTTCTGAGTTATCTGGTCCCGCTAAAAGGATGGAATAAACATTATGGATGAACAAGGTTCTGGCAGGTTGGTCCCTTTGTACCATTTCCCAGTGATAGGATATGTTGAGAGAACTATGTAGTGGCAAATGAGGCAACAGACTGAAGTGGAGCCTGAACAACAGATACCAAAGATGCTCAGTTCTTGGTCCCTGGAACCTTCTGATCTGGCAAGATTATTAAAGGTACGATGATTAAGCTAGAGTTTGAGATGGGAAGTGTTGTGGGTGAGTCCTAAACTCAATCCCAAGTGTTTGTAATTTTAAATAGCAGAAGTGATGTAACTGTAACCCCTCTGTACAACATCTTAACAATAAAATAATAATAAAAAAGCAGAAGTGATGTCAGTTGAAGGAGTGGATAGAATAAGGCATAGTATGCCACCACGTCAAGATGTTAGAAACAGCCAGGAACAGATTATCTCCAGAGCCTTTTGAGGTGTTTAGCACTGTCAATACATTAATTTCAGATTTCCAGCCTCCAAAATTGTCAGAGAATAAATTCCTGTTCTTTTTAGACAAGAAGTCTGCAAAAACTGGTTACAGCAGTCATAGGAACTGGTATAAGTAAAAGGAAGATATGTCTGAACAAAGAAAGATCATACAGGTTGATTTTCAGAGTCTCCAGAATCAGTTACTAGACAAACAATCTTTCACCATGGTAGTTTCATCTGAAAGACGAAGACAAACACAAAAATCAGCCAAATCAGCCAAGGAGCTTTTAAAAATACCGACGACCATACTGTTCTCCAGAGCTATTGAGCCAGCTCCCTGAGGAATCTACACACAAGTTAATCCAAAATGCTTCATGTGTGACTCTCAGATGAAGCCCTGGTTAAAACTCATTGCTATGTGCGTTTATTGATCCGTTCAAAACTGAAATTCCTGCAACTCAACCCAGGAACTAGAGAACAATCTGATACCTCTCCACTGACACTAAACAGGACAAAATGATTCTTCATCCATTTGAAGATCATCAATTTTAGGAATGAGAAAGTAAAGGAAATTGCTTAAATTACAGAGAGATCAAGGCATTTTGCTCTACAATTGCTTTTAAGTCTTTGTTCCTCATTTTTGATTTCTTCTCAAGAATGATAAAATGCAATCTTATTCAGAACCTACCACCATCACAGGCAGCCCACACAAAGCTCTCTGAAGTTTTTGCCCATTACTCCACATTGTGTAACCATGAGTTTCTCTGTCTTTGCAGAAGAACATTTTGCATAGTGGATAAATTTCATGTATTTTACTTAAATCATCTCTACATTCTAAGGAATGTTTTTCTCCATAATCATTAAATCATTATGGAAA